GACACGTCACACGCCACACATGGGTTATTTACACCCACGTACAGGCCCCTGATGCCACATCCCCTTTTAGTGCCACGTCAGATTCACGACACTGAACGTCATGAGAACGTCACACCCTCGCAGAGATACGAACCCTGAAACCCAGATCCCATTTAAGGGGAAAGTCACATCCCATTTAAGGGAAAACCTAGATCCCATTTGTGGGGAAGCCCACATCCCATTTGTTGGGAAGCCCACATCCCATTTGTGGGGAAGCCCACATCCCATTTGTGGGGAAGCCCACATCCCATTTGTGGGGAAGCCCACATCCCATTTGTGGGGAAGCCCACATCCCATTTGTGGGGAAGCCCACATCCCATTTGTGGGGAAGCCCACATCCCATTTGTGGGGAAGCCCACATCCCATTTGTGGGGAAGCCCACATCCCATTTGTGGGGAAGCCCACATCCCATTTCTGGGGAAGCCCACATCCCATTTGTGGGGAAGCCCACATCCCATTTATGGGGAAACCCACATGGGAAACCCACATCCCATTTAAGGGGAAACCCACATGGGAAACCCACATCCCATTAAAGGGGAAACCCACATCCCATTTAAGGGGAAACCCACATCCCATTTCAGGGTAAACTCACATCCCATTTAAGGGGAAAGTCACATCCCATTTAAGGGGAAAGTCACATCCCATTTATGGGGAAACTCACATCCCATTTAAGGGGAAACTCACATCCCAAAGTTACGGATCTAGTCATATCATTTATTATCCTTAAAATCAGCCGATGGCCAGGTGGAAGCGGGGGTGGCGGGGAGGAAGCGGGGATTTGCACCGGAAGCGGGAAAACGAAGGGAAAAAACGACTAACATGGGAAGCAGCACGGAGATTAGAAGAAGCAAAGGGTCAAATGAACAGACGTCCAGAGGCGCCAAGTGTTGTTGGGAGTTCGAATGTCCCAAGGATCTACGCAAATGCCTGTCATCAGGCGAGTGCTTGCTTTGCAAAAACGCTTCTTTCAACGTCATCCTGCGGCGCAAGGCCCGAAGGTGACAAACCAGGTGGTAGTCTCACCTGTCGTACGGCTTGGTGTGCAGTACGGTGTCAAATACGGGCACCAGCACGGACGCCCTGGACGAGCACGGCGAAGGCGGCGATGTAGTGCAGGGAGGCCAGACTCCGCCGCTGCCGAAGCTGCTGTTGCTTTCCCCCGAGCGTGCGAGCTGCGGCACTGAGTGCCAGGGACCCTCCTCTCGCGATGCCGCTGGTGGGGGGGGACTGACGGTAACGGGGAACGCGATGGCTGATGCGAAAGGTGTCGGGTTGCCGCAGTTAGTAGCAGCTGCAAAACGAAGCTGCTGCTGCTGCTGCTGCTGCTGCCGCTGTTGATCCTGCTGCTGCTGGGATAGGTAATGAACAGCCTGCTCGAATTGCTTCTGTCGCTGGGTTTGCTGCTGCTGTTGCACTAAACTTCTCCAGCTGCGTTGCTCTGCAAGCGCTGCTTCCTGGGTACCTAGGAGTAGCTGGCTATTATCAATGCTTCGGCGGGACGGCGTCGGGCCCCGCTGATCAGGAGGGTACTTACATGACCCGTGGGTCGCTAGGGCCTTCCACTGCTCAACAGTGAGCAGCAGCTGCGGCGGCGGCGGCGCTGCACCTGCTGCCTGATTTGGGTCAGCGACTAAGAGGGCAACGTTAGATGGAGGACGTATTGGTGCTGCGCCAATATTGCGACCTGCTCGCTGCTGAGGCTGCGCGGTTTCAGAGCGAGTGAGAGGTAGAGAAGGCGGCGCGGTAGTCCACCGGGATGCAGACGCAGGGCTGCTGTCGCTTCCCGTAAAGCTGCTAACAAGGAGGCCGCTGTGTGTGAAATCAGACAACGAGGCGCAGCTGGCCTGTGATAAGGATGGCGGATGAAGCTGCTGGAGATGCGGCTCCTGCGGCAGGGCAGATGCTTGCGACGCGCTGTTGCTGACGGAGAGGCTTGTGGTTGGATCGTCGGCCGCGAAGAGTCTCTGTTCCTCGGCTTGCATGAAGGGGGAAACAGAATCAGAGAAGGACTTGGAAAAATTTGAACGCGATACCGAGGTTCCTCTCGAGGCCGCGGTCAGAGACTGAATAATTAAGTCGGAAAGCTGGTCTGACTGGTAGCCCGATGACGCTCCAGGTGCATTGTTGGGCGACGAGCTAACCTTATTGGTTGGCCCAGGCCTGAGGTTAATCATGGAAAAGCCGGGTCTCTGGTCCATAACTTGAAAGGACCGCGGCTTTCATGAACTTTGGACGGCCCAAAAGGGATTCGGAGCCAGCCGACAGGTTAGCCTAAGCTGCGAGCTCGGTGCAGGTCCATGTACCCGTATTATCTATAGCTGCTGTCACGGCGCATAAGCTGCAGGAAAAAGCAGTTGGCTTAGCAACTGGCGCGATGGCGCCCGGCACGAGGGCCTACAGGAAGTTATCAGGCCATGGGTTCGGCCTTCGCTGTAGGTTCATGCCATTGCGAGTGTTATTTTCGCCACAGAGCGCCCTTGCACGAGAGTCAAGTCCCGAGCTTGGGCAAGTTAAGGAGAGTCGAGCCTGGAATCAAACCTTTGTAGGTAGTAATGCCAGAAGTCATTTCCTTGTCGCGAGCCGTCCTGCATAGCACTTTCATGCAAGGAGACAGTTAGCACAGATAACATGGGAAGTGGATGCGGATACGGCATCCCGTGTGCCTGTTTGGCGGACCTTGGCCTGTTCCTCCAGGTTCCTTGTCCGCTTTGGACCCTCTTGGATCGCAAAGTCGTAGGTGCAACCGTAGCATCTGCACCAGATAATTTGAAGTCGACGCACCTTGGAGGAGTTCGGAGCAGCGTGGCTGCTTTACGTAGCAGAAATGCTTTTTAAGAAATCGTCGAGGATCTTGCTGTTCTTCCCTTCGAAACTTTGGGTCCTCTGCTATTTTTATGCCTGAATCTTCGCTCTAAGATTGCTGCGATCATGCGCACGCTCTGCGCGTGTGAAAAAGACATCCCGATTGAGTTTAAGTTCGTCCACGGACTATAGCACAGGCAAAGTGCGTGCTTTGGTTTGAGGACTTCAGGCACATCGCCTACATGCCGGAAACACCTCTTAGCAAGGAATAAGGAATACTTCTAGGCTGTTGAGCCGGCCTTCATTTTTCTCCAGCTTTCGGATCGACTTCGTTGCGCCAGCCAGGTCGGGCCAGATTCAGGCGCTATCACGGAAAACAGTCTTATCCGGGGTGCCGGTAAACCGAAGGGCAGAGTTTGAGGCCAGTCGTTGAGGCACAACTACAGCACTAGTACGCATACACACGAGTACCCACGCCAGGCTTGCGAACTGATTCACATTAACGTCGCAATTGCAGAAGGGCGGAATCCATAGAGCTTTCAACATTTTTGGAGGGTGCCAGCAAAGACTGTAGGTCAAAATGCATATCGCGCGTCCTCGCGCAGCGTCGTCCGACTGCAGCGTCGTCCGACTGCAGCGTCGTCCGACTGCAGCGTCGTCCGACTGCAGCGTCGGATGGACTCTTTAACTGTCTGCCCAGCGGCGTTCGTAGTCTCTATGATATGGTGCAATTTAAAACAGAACCTTCATTCCATTTTGCTTTTTAAACATGATAAGCCTTGTCCTCCTCCCCGTTTGGTGGTCTCATGTTCCGACGAAACACGACTAAGCACAGCTCCTAAATAAGAGACGCAATAAGCTTAATAATTTCAGGACTATGATAAGCGACGATGTTTTCGATCAACTTTCCATTGACAAAGGTTTCGGATTGCCACGGTCGAAGCACGGCAGCGAACGTGTTGTACCATCCATATACACTCAAAAAATTGCAAGATGGAGCCCTCAATGCGCTAATACCTATACCTTGAACAATGTAAATAAGTTGCGACATTGAAGTGAAGGGACTTTCACACTCTGGAGCAGCTACTTGCGGTTCTGCAATTTCAAATGGAAAACTGAAGGGTCCTCCGTCACCGCACTACGTGGGTTCCCTTGTGTTCAGGTTCACCATATAGCGCTTTCATGTAGGTTTGGTCTTACCATGTCACTTATTAGCACTTCCGCTTGCTACGATAAGACTGACAACCGCTTGATTTCGGCTTGGAAAGGACCTGCTTGCTTCTGAAAACACAATGGAGAAGGATAAAAACTTGGATTCTGCACTTCGCCGTGGACTGGTGAGAGCCAGCAATCCCTTAAACTTCTTAGGGTATATGGGCCCGGGGGTCACAAGGTGAAGAGCAGTTCTTAGTCATCTGCAACATAAGCTTAAAAATTGATACATATATTAATAATTATGATCTCACCAGAGCGGCTTTCGTACAAATGAATGTTCGCAGCTTGTCCCTTTCATCCCGAACAAGGACACAGCATGGTGGAATTTGATAAATTATCACATAAGTGATCAAGGACTCCATAAATGAGATCATTCCCTATCCTCATCTATCCACGGGCTCTCCTGCTTCCTCTCCCGCGCCTATCTCCTTGCTGCAGGAAAACATTCAACTCCTGCGCAACTTCCATGCTTCAACGCGCAACGAGGAGTTAAGGGAAGCGACATCTGATGCAGTCAATCGCGGGTTCCGAGAGCAGAGCTCGTGGTGGTTGTCGAGTAAGGCACCTGCCCTCGCAGGGACTGGAATTACACTAGGACCAACCGGGACTGACTGCGGCCTTTTTTTTACGTGCTGCTGTTGCTGCGACTCCTGTTGCTGCCAATGCTATTGCTAAGCTGTTGCTGATGATGATACAATCCTGCTTCGGATGCGGCAAAGCGGGACCGTCCTGTCCTTGGAAATGTATGCCCCCGAACAATAAAAGACGTACCTGAACAGGTCCGCAGAGTTGTCTGCCTAGACAGCGCCCATATCTACACGCTAACAAGTTACTCGCGACAGAAAGGGCCTTTCAACCCAACCTCCCCGCCTTCCGTTGCTGGGCTACCCTTCTCCGGCCTGCTGCGTAATGTAGTGCGTATCTTCTCCTCCTGACGACTTCTCACACCTCCCAGGAACGATCCTTCGAGAGATGCTGTCATGCAATTCGCAGCTCGCAAAGCAGCCAGCCATAATTTGCTTCTGCCTTCTGCCGGGGAACGACTACTGCTTTGCAGCCCCTCCTTCCGGCGTGGAACTACTTCCTTCCAGACCTAGATCATTTAGTTCATAGAAATAGGATTGTACTTTTTGTTGTTGTTGTTGGCGCCTCCTGTAAGGCGGCGCCAACGCAAAGAAAGAATGGTATAAGGGCGGTGTGCGCTGCGACGGCTTTGCAACAGAAATATCAAGGCATCGAATGCCTACACAGCTGGGCGCACAGCACGGAATGGCAAAGAGCCCGGCGGCGAACATTATCCAAATCGCGCCATTAAAATTAAAGCCTCAATGCGCAAAAGATCTTTCATCAAGAGAAACGTCATCATCAGCAAAACACAATGAAAAGATGTTAAAAGCACAACTAAGGGTTAGTTTTTTTACTGCTCGGGCTCGCTGCCCCAAAAGGTGAACTCTGGTCTAAACCCTAAAGGCTACGCACCTTCGCCACCCTCGCCACCATCGTCGCCACCTCCACCCTTGCAGTCTTTGTATTGTCACGTGACCTATCTCCCTTTCCCCGCGCCCTGCCTTGCATTGCACCGCACCGCGCCGCGCCGCGCAGAGAATGGGGCCCCGAACTCGTCCCGGGAATCCCTTGCCTCATCAGGCAAGTCCGCCCGCCGGCCGGTATCCGCCACTGCAGCCCGCCGCTTTGCAACACCTGACGAGGACGGCATCTTGGTGTCCTCAAGCGACCCCGCCGGCAGTGAGGCTGCGAGCCGCGTGGCCGCCGCCAGGGCAAACACCGCCAGTAGCGGCGACGGTGACGGCAGCGGTGGCGGTGGCGGTGGCGAGCGAGGATTCAACCGTGGGAGCTCCTGGCACGGAGGCCGGGCTGTTCAGACAGCCAATTTAGGGAAGCCAAGCAACGGCGGAGGCGGAGGCGGTCGCATGTCTTTCCGTAGCGTGGCGGAGGTGGCAATGGGTGCCGCCGCCGCCGCCGCCGCCGTGGCAGCGGCGGAGGCGATGCCTGCCAGCGGCGGAGACGGCGACGACGGCAACAGCGACCGCAATCATCACCGAAACAACAGCAACACCGCTTTTGAACGTGTCGCCTGGGCGCTGCAACGCGCGACGCGGCCCGCCTCCGCCAGCGGCGCCCTTATGTACGACGGCGGCGGCGACGCGGCGGTGCCGAACCATGAATCCGCCGTACCCATCCGGGCGCCGCGCGGCTGCCCGCGCTACACCATCCAACTTTTCGAGACGCAGCGCCAGCTACAGCGTCGGCTCGCCAGGGATCTCTCGTCGGGACGTTCACACGAGTCTCTACTCCTGGACTCCGAGGGGGATGGCGACGAGGAGGTGGAGGGGGAAGATGGGGAAGATCTGCAAATGGAGCGAGTCGGTGCTGCGGCGGGGGTTTCTGGCGGCGGCGGCGGCGGCGGCGCAGGATTAGGCGGGATTTTCCTTGGCACGGGGTTTCGCGCGCTAGCTGATGAGGAACCCGCGAGCGATTTGAAGAGCCTGGCGGAGGAGTCCGCCATCGCCTCCGCCGCCGCGCGCGTCATGGCGTCGGTTGGCGACGTTAAATCGCCACGGGGCGATCGCGCGTATGTTGGCTTGATTGGCAATGGCTCAGCGCGCGGAGCTGGCGCCGCCAACCGTGATCCAAGCGAGCCGCCGCCGCCGCCGGCTGCGGAGGCGGAGGTGCAGAGTTGGCAACAGGCACTCGGCTTGGCCACCGACAAAGCCGCAAAAACAAGATCTGTACGGCGGCAGCATTCGAACCTCTTGCGGAAGAACGCCGGCGCGAAGGCGCAGCCGGCGCGTGTGTCATCCCCTGGAGTGTTGCTGTCATTGAGCCGCGGCGGCGGCGGCGCTGGTGCCGACGACGGTGATGCGGCCACTGCCGCCGTCGCCGCTGCCGCCGCCACCCCATCAGGTCCAGGAGGGAATCCAGTTCTGATGCCCACACCGCCGCCTCCGGACACAATCCCAGCTGCTGGCCTGCGACCCGGTCGAGGCCACCGTTACGTCGTACAGGGTGACTGTGCACCGTCCACGCCAAATCGGCCAGCAGCAGCAGCAGCAGCGGCGGCGGCTCCGGAACTTCATCCGGGGCGCATCCGTCTGGGTTCGTCGCCTTTCCGAAGCCGCGTGGTTATGGAAAGTACTGGAGCGCTTGCGTTGGAGGCCGCCGCGGCCGCCAGCCCGCTGGTGGCAGCGTCGGCGGCGGCGGCAGCGGCTGGCGGCGGCAGCCCTGCAGCTGGTGTTGCCGCCGTCGCCGCTGCCGCAGGGGTACGCGCCAGGCTGCGGGTGCTATCGCAGTCTTTGGCTGAGGAGGACAGCCGCCGCGTAAGTATGGCCAGTACGGCGGCGTTAGGCCGCTCGATCCTCGCACCCTCGTCGCAGCGTCCCAGCTTGACGGCGGTGACGGCGTCGGCGACAAATGCGCTGGGCACGGCAGTGGTGCCGGAGCCGGCTGTTGAGTGTATCAACATCGTGAGCCCGACGGCTAGCCGAAGGACCCATTTGCGTAATGCCTCCAGGCAAACGGAGGAGTACGACGCAGATATGACGACCCTCGCGGCCCGGGCTGATTCGCCGGCTCGCGGCGGCGACGGTGTTGGCGGCGGCGGCGCCGCTGCCGCCGCTCTCAACAGCTCGCTCCGTCACCGTGAGGCGCACGATGCGGCCCCCGACGGCAGCCACGGGCCGTCCTGCCGTACCAGCATGTCGCCACCACGTGGCGTCCAGTTCCTCGCTGCGTCCTCCGCCGCCGCTGCCGCCGCCGCCGCGGCGACGCGTACGATACGGCCAAAGTCTGCGATGGTCGGCAACGCAGCCGCCTCGCCCGCCGTCGCCGCGTTGCTGCTCAGATGCCATCGCAGCCCAGCGCGAGTTCAACCCGCGGGGCCCGAATCCGGGTCGGCGTCAACCTCAAACTCAACCTCCGACGCCGCCGCCGTCGCTGCCATGGCGGCCGCGGCCACAGCCGCAATCAAGGCGGTCCCTGCAGCGGCATCCAGCGCCGCCGCCGTTGCCACTTCCACCGCGGCCGCGGCGGGACCTGCTGGTAACGGCACCATCACCGCCGCTGCTACCATAGGAACTACAGCCGCTGCAATGCCGGCCCCAGCCATCATCACTACCCCTGCCGATACTTCCCCCCGAACGATGCTCGCAGGCAAAGGTAGCCGCAGCGGCAGTAGGAGCGGCGGCGGCGGCGGCGGCGGCGGCAGCTGCCGCTTACATCGGAGCTCGACGCCCATTACGGATGACGACGTACAACAAGTCCTCATGCGGTACAGTCATTCACGAGGCGGTACAACGTGGGATAGCGGCCGGCTGACGCCCACATTCCCCCGTACGAACGCCTTTGGAGCCGGTTTCACCCACACCAAAACGGCATATAAAGCCTCGGGGGATGCTTGCAGCGCCAGCTATTGCGGCGGCGGCAGGGCCTCGCACTCCGGCGCTAACAACAGCCTTGCAGTCATCGGCGTGCGCGTTTGCATCAGTAGGGCGGCTTCGTCTCGCAGCGGTAACGGCAGTAGCAGCAGCGTCGGCCATACGGACGATACGGCGCCGCCGTCGCCGTCGCCGTCGCAGCAGTCGCTGCGGCCTAGATCAGCGTCTCCTGCGATCCGGCGCTAGAGTGTGTGGGAGGTTGTATGAGGATTAGCGAAATCTATTTCAATTTCCAGCGGCTTCTGGAAATTCCAGCGGCTCCAAATCCAGACATTATTCGAATCCAGGCGCGATGTTGCGCGCTTCCCTTCTTCCTAAGAGGCGGTTTACCACTGCCGCGTTACCACTGCACCCGTAATAGGCGCCCGCTCCGCTTCCTTAACGTTGCGTTGTGTTGTTGCGCGGCTCTGAGATTTCGACCTACGGATTGAAGAGCTGCCGTGAAGAAGTGCGAAGAGAGAGGGGAGTTGACCTCGAACCTGGTTGGCTGGTGTCGGACGTTCATGTGTTGGCTTCAAGGCTTGCTACCGCGTGTTCCTTAGGAATTTGGTTTTGCTTGGGGTATTAAATTATCTAAGCGGAAACTTAGCCCGTGGCCCGTTCCTGATGATTTATTACAGTAAATGCAGTGTTATGTTCTATTACAAGCTGCCGTGCTGGCCAGCTTTCGTGAGGCCCAGACGAGCCAGGAGGCGCGTTGCTTTTTCCAGGATGCGAATTTCCGCGCGAACATGCTGAGCAAGGTTCTCTAGCATGTTTCCTAAAAATAGCAAGATGCAACCACAGGATTGTACATTTCTTCAGTGACCGACCAGTCGAATGTATACGTGCCAAAGGGTATATGCTGTTCGCGGGTTTCCACATACACGCCTTGCATGCGGTTCGCGGGTCTCGACTCGCCTTGTTTTTTTCACGGTTCTCACACGCGCCTTGTATAAATCATTATTGGCATAAAAGGATCGGTAACCGACGAAGGTTAGCTATAACCCAACCGGTCGCTTCGGTAGGATAACCGACATTTCGAGATAACGACCCAGATGGTAAAAGAGATTTCCGGAGCCTCCGAGCGCTTGGTTGCCGCTTCCGTGTATTAGGTGCTGGGTTGGCGGCATCTACCAGTCGTTGCTCGGTTGTCGCTTCCCGTCCAAGGCGCTGGGTTGGCAGCACCTTCACGTCGCTTTCCCTTCCTTCGAGGGCTGGGCTGGCAGCCCGTTAAGTCCGTTATGCCGTTAAGTCCGTTATGCCGTTAAGCCCGTTATGTCCTCTTGAGTCCGTTCGGCCTGGCCCCCTGCTGCGTGTAGGGCAAGCACCTGGGACAGGCTGGTCGACAGCCGCTGGCATGTTCGGCAAGCGATGAGGGTTGGTTCCCTGTTCCCCTTGTAACTTATGCATCCTAAAAAGAGATAGAAAATATGCCAGTTTCCTTCAAAACCTGTGCAGTAAAGTGATAACGGAGTGGATTAAGGGCTGCTGCCCTTTAAAATGTTAGAAGGGCTCTTAAAATGTCGCGATGTTGTTGATGGCTATAAAAGGATGGTCGTGATGTTGGTAAGGAAGCGTATTACATGGCACTCAGCAACAGGACGAGAACAGTTCGCCGGGCTGCTTTTCGGTTCGTAGACTCGCCAAGAGGATAAGGAGTTGGAGCCTGGTAATTGAGTTAGAGCTGCTGCATGCTTTGAATAGCTTGAACCTATGCCAGGTTTCCTGTGTCAAGCGAAGCCCGTTGTTAACAACCTGCAGGTCTGTGGCGAAGGCCTCCGCCAGCGCAAATCGTACCTTCCGTACAGCCGAAGCAATGTTCCAAACGTACTGTAACTTTGGTGGCCGTTACGCTTTCCCAGGGTTACCCATTAGTAAGTGTAGCCATTATTTAATTGACAAACCAAAATGTTTTATTTGCTTATGGCGTGATGCTGGCGCTTCCTCCCTTTGATTGTCGAGGTGGCTTTGACCAAGCACGTTGGGGTTGTGCAGGTAGGGAACAGTGATGTCATGCCTTACGGCGGAGCATACATTAAGCATATATACGATGGCATGACACTATTGTTGTCCTTCGGCCGTTGGGAACTTAGCCAGGGAATTCAACTCCGTACAGGCCAAAGACGTAATAGGAGGCTTCGTAGGCATCGGGGAACTTGCCTGTGCATGGCATGCATTACTTGTAATGCATGCCATGCGGATGATGCATTGATCATCTGGACACGGAAAAGAAGATCGGTGTCGGATGCGGCAGCTTGGCACTGGCGGTGGTTTGCCCAACGACGCCGTACAGCTATCCCGTTATGTCCTCTGAATTCCATACTTGTCTGGTTAAGGCTCCATCGAACAAACGTTTGCAAAAAGAGTCGATAGAATTTGTGATCTAACCTGGTTTCTCTCTGGTGACGCCTTCGATGTTACATTGAAGTCAAGATGTGTGACAACTGGCAGCAGACCATTGACGTATTGCAGGGTGCAAACCCTGTATTTGACAAACCTAAATTGTCCGAGAAGCTGCTTGTGAAGCCACCGTTCCGCTTCCTGCACGATGTGGTATCCGCGGTGAGCACTTTCCTCTTTTGTTGATTGGGTAATACGTTTGTTGGTAGAGCTTCTTAGTCACTTATTGGCGTCTCACGGTATTTAGAGGAGGGAGAAAATGTATACGCATGCCTTTTTCAAGGTGTATTCAGCAGCAGTTTATCTATCACATATTTGTAAACGCCGCAGGTGCAAGCAAGTACAGGCTTTGCTCCTGGCCTATATCAGGGAGAGGAACTGGACGGGAAGGCCATACAAGTGCGTGCACAGGATATCCAATAAGCAGCCCTTGCAGCAGCTTACTGATGTGGTTATTGTTTTCAGGAGAAAGATGCCAAAGTTGCATACCTTAAAAAGGTTATCGATGTGGTCAGCATGACCCTCGGTGAACAGTGTCCAGCTCGGCCAAACAAGGTAAGTTGCCCTCATTGTATTTGCTTTCTCGTCGTGTCCTCACTGCATAGATGTTGCCCAAACGTGCAGATTGTGGCAGGCCTGGAGCCGGAAAACACCAATGTCTTCTTGCAGATGTTGGGGAGAGCCTGTCGTAAGAACAGCGGTGCTGATGCTGTTAAGGTGAGCGGTCCCCTTTCCCCCGCCCATTTGAGTCCATAGGATGAGTAACGCCTATGGTTTATGCGATGCCGGGCTGCCGTTCCACACCATCCTCCTTACACAGAAAGTCCTTGGCGGAGCTGCTCCGGATGCAGCCCCTAGCAAGGCAGCGGCACCCCCACCGCCGGCGGCTGAACCCGCTCCAAAGGAAAAGGAGAAGTCTCGCTCCTCGTCATCTGCAGCAGCAGCAGAGGCTGGGCCCCCGCGGAAATCGTCGCGGGATCCCTCAGGCGCTGATAAGGAGAAGCTTACGGAGAAATCTTCGGAAAAATCGTCAGAGAAGTCCTCGGAGAAATCGTCATCCAGGTCAAAATCAAAGCCTGAGGAGCCTCCGGCGAAGCCCCCTAAGAAGAAGGAGGAGGCCCCACCGCCGCCGCCTGCGGAAGAGAAGAAATCACGATCCAAGGCGCCACCACCAGGTACGGTAACTGAATCGCAATGAGCTTATGACGTGAGCTTTGATGTGGGTCTACGAGCAGCTGTTGTACCGCATCAATACACGTCAGGCTGGCGATACAGATCAAACAGATTCCCTTGGGCCAGGAGTCGTAAGACGTGAACCGTTGAGATGCAACTCAGCTCAGAACTGGGAATATGATGGCTGGGTATGCAATATAAAAGCTGCACCAGCCACGGAGTTTGATATCGGGCTCACCGGCGTCAGCCGTTGCCATTGGCTTCAGCTATTGATCTTCCTATGGAGTAGGTCTGGCTCTCGGTCTTGTCAAACTTCATGTATCCCAGCTTTCATCGGCCAACGGCCATTTTGCTCCTCATCGTCCATTCACTCATGTCTGCCTTTTCCCTCGTGGCACTATCTGCATCCTCTCTCACTTTGTTCCTTCCGCGCACTCGGCTCGGCTCGGCCCGGCTGTGTCGCATGATTGATCTCCCACCCGGGCAGTGGAGGAGGCGCCACCACCGCCGCCGGCAGCTGCGGAGCCGCCTGCCCGATCCGCCTCGCCGGGCGGCGACGACCCGCTGAACCGCTCGGGGACCTCGGCACCCAAGTTCCAACGGCCCACTTCCGCGCGCAAAGCGCCGCCGCGCGTGCCGCAGGCCCAGCAGTAAGCTACATGGGGGATTGGGGATTCGCATGGGAGGTGGGGAACGTGGCACCGGCTGTACGCCGAGGGGGCTGGAGGGGTTCGTAGTTCAAGGACATGGACGTGGCGGCGTCGACGTCCGTGACACTTCCCTGGCCAAGCTGGCGATTCACGGCGGCCAAGGGGGAGGAGCAGCCGCATTTGGGCATGAATAACTTGCAGGCGTGGTATTCGCGTGGCTTGGAGTATAGGACGGGTGGGATGCGGAGTATAGGAAGGATGATGCTGTATGCCAACAAATCGGCGGTGGAGGTTGTGCGGGAGGATGTGTTTAAACTTTGACGCGCGGTCTCGTGCAAGTAGATGGACGTCGGGGGCTTCCGGTTGTGGCGAGCCCTCCACTCACGTGCAAGCTGTAAGATGCCTGGATCTTACAGCGTACGCATGCTGTCCTGCCGGTTGCCACCATATGGTACCCGATGTATGTGTGATACACGGCTTCTTAGCTGCCCTAAGGTATAACTGCTTTTAAAGGGTATAACTGGTGTGGTTCCCCACCCGCAACAACTCACATGGGGATGTAACCATGCCATCGCCATCATCGAATCCCCCAGGCCGGTACTAGGCGCAGGCATCCGGCCCGGCACAGCGCAACGCCGTCCCAACGAGCCTAAGCCCTCGGTTGACTCCAAGGTGAGCTACATCCTCCCCGGCCTTGCCCTTGGCGCCGCCGTGTCACGACCGGACTGTGATGCCCGCGCACCTACCTACCTACCTATCTACCTACCGCGCTTCTTTTTTCCCTCCTGTGGGAAAGCATTTGTGTGCAAAGCTGCTGTGCGTGTGAAGTCGCGACGTAGGCTAGCTCCCTGCAGAACTCGTGGGGCGCTGGTTGCTCGCCAGAGGTTGCCCTGGCTTTCCACTCTGCTCAATTCATATTTCCTAGTCTGTCGGGTCCCAACTTATTCCCGGGTTTCGGATGGAATTGCGGTTTTTTGCCCGCCTCCATCGCTGCTGTTATCGTCCTGTATCGTCTTGCAGGTGACGAGGCCGGTGGCTTTGTTCTCCGAGAATGCGCGTGGCGAGTCGGATGATGAGGTGGAGGTCGTCCATGAGCAGACACCGGTGTTGACGGGCGGCACCAACCTAACGGGCGAGCAGGGTGTCCTGGTCAAGGACATTTTGGCGGCGGAGAAGGGGCTCAAGGTGCGGCGGGCCGGACGGACACGGACCGTGTCGTTAGACAGAGATACGGAGGGCTTTTTAGTTGGGGACAGGAACGGTGGCCGGGATTCAGGAGGCCATGCGGTGGAGCAGAGGAAGGAGTGAGGATCATGATAACCGTGTTGAAAAGCTCCTGTTCCGTGTCACGCAAATTGTCGGGTGTGGCTTCCCAGGCTTTGCAAAAAGAATGCCCAGTTCGGTCCTCTAAGGGGCCTAGTGTTCCGGCGTTGCGTTTGTGTTGTTTGTGTCGGCCCGGTCACCTAGCCACCCGAGGCACAAACTGGCGAACCTCCTGCCGAACCTCCTGATGATACCGCGTTGCTACCCTCCTTCCTTGTGCCGTTTTCAGAAAGCCGGCGCGGATGCTACAGCTGATACGGCGGACACGTCCGACCAGGTGCGCGTGTATTGTGTGTGTGAGGGGGGGAGGATAAGATGGCTGCCGCGAGGGGAGCCTGCGGGGTGCGGCACCTCATATGCACCAGCTGTATCCATAGCTGCTGCTGCCGTGGTTCTTTCAGTCCCAGGTAGCACCTGGAGCAGGTGTGGCAGCTGATGTGTTGTGCAGCGGGGTCGGGTCATAGCACCCTCCTTCGTTGCATTCTTGCTTATGCAAAAGCTGCTTTTCGCTCTTCATGTGTACCGCCGCATAGCTTCACGGCCCCTGGGCTCGCTGGTTCACACTCTACTATGCATTGCACACCCATAGGGCGGCACGGGCATCATTCTAAAGCGCCTGGGCAAGCCTGGTGCCGGCGGCGCGGGTGCCGGAGGGGGCGTGCGCGCGCACGACCCCTCCGCCGTGCGGGAGTTGGTCCAAAAGCTGTGCCAGAGTAGCACCCCCCTGGCCAAGTCCATGGACTACCTGCAGGAGGACATTGAGAACATGCGCAAGGAGTACAAGTAAGTGACTAGCGTCGGGTGTTGCAGCGGCGTGGTTGTGGGTTAGACCGGACAGTACCTTTCCGGAAGGGCGTTTTGTGCAGCAGCTTCGGTATAATGGCCTAAAGCCGCGGGAAGGAAGTCCTGACGATGACGTTGATGCAGCTGTGTGCGCGCTGGCCGCGATCTCAGTCCGCGCGTCCCCGGCTCGTGTCCATTTCCTCCACGTCGGGAAAGACGACGTGAAGCGCTTCCTGGCGGCCATGTCCCGTTGTAACGGATTTCGTTCTGCCGCTTTTTCCAGTTGTTGATTTGTCGTGAATAATTTGGCAAGCTTTTCACGGATAGAGGCATACTGTGCCACCTTGCGCCCGGTTGAACACTAGCTGCAAGGCATGGGGTTTTGAGGATTCCAGTGCGGTGCCGATAACAGTCTGACGTGTGGTTATCTAAAGCCCGGAGGATCTGTGGGCTCTTTCCAAGGGCGTTCTGTGCGCCGCCCACGCGCCATGCGTGCAACGTTCTTAATTGTGCCGCCCGCCATCGCCATCGCTGGCGCCGCGGCCACCGATATATATGCGATGATGGGGACTGCCCTGACTGTGTGCAGGTTCTGGCTGACAGAAAAGCGCATGTACCAGGACGAGCTGGCGCGTGAGCTACGGCTGCAGGGAGAGGCCGCCAACATCGACGCGCAGCTGGCAGACCTGGATGGGCAGATTAAGCAGGTGCGTTTCGGTCCTTGCAATGCCCGGCGGTGCTCCAATCTCTCGGTATCTCGGCCATCCCATCCCGGTCGTTGTGGATGCGGTTAGCATTCGGGTCCTCTGGCAGGGTTGGCCAGGGCAATACTGTTCCTCTATGCAGGGCATGGCACGCGGAGGAAGAAGCACTTTCGCACGAAGCTGGGGCAGTGGCTGCGTTCCCGTCCCCTTTTGTGATGGCCTTGAGGCAATCGCTGCGCCACACAGCGCATGTGAATCCACTTCGGCTAATCCCTCGGGCAGTGGTGAAGTGCGTGTGCAGAAAAGCTGTGGGTGCATGTGGTGCCTCGGGCATATGGTGAAGTGCGTGTGCAGAAAAGCTGTGGGTGCTGCCACGCCGCCTTAGGGTTCGGCCGTTTGGCAGCCGCGCTCAGGCTCCAGGAGGGCTGCGGAAGCGCATACAATTTATACAATTTCTACTTTATTGAATACGTGTATGGAACTGAAGCCAGATGAATGGTGTGTTGGGCTGCGTGCTGCGCTTGCTGCAGGCTCGCGACCGCATCATCGGCCTCAAGGGCCAGATTCTCCGCAACGATGAGACGCTAGGCAAGCTGCTCGCCATGGCTACGTCGGGCAGGTAGCGGCCTTGAAGGGCAAGCATGCTACGACGGGGCGGCCCTGTGGCTCATGGCCAGCGGCGGCAGCGGCCAAGGCCATCAGGATAATCTTTTAGGTCGGGTTTCCAGTCCCAGCGACAGGTGCTTGGGTCTTCCTTAACGATTGGTTCAGGCCAGCGGTTTTGGACCGACCCTTGCGGCCATGCTTCGGATCTTGGACGCCACGTATGGACGGTCTGCGTGCGTCCGTGCGTGCACTATGGGGATGTCGGAGGATGCGGTTGTTGCACGTGTTCCGGCAGCAGTGACAAGGGTCGTGTGCAGCAGACTGCGACAGTCACTCCAAAAAGGAGAGGATGGACTGGTAGCGCCGCTGAGATGATGCACGTTGCTGGACGGAGGGCGACGACTTGTACATAGGGTTCCACACGAATGAGTACGATGGGGTGGAGAGTACGGCAGCCTTTCAGAGAAGTGCTTGGTGCCCGTACGGGAATACAGGCTGTCTGGATGGGCCGGCACTTCTCTGGGTGATGTTTTTGGGGTCGCATATAGGTGTTCATGGTACTATTTCCTACGCAGGACATGGTCAGGTCCAGGAAAAAGTATATTCTTAGTTATCGTCGCGCTGGCAGAGGTGCGTTTAGGGACTGTAATAACACTAGTAACTGGGCTACGAGACGTAAGCTCTCGTTCACGACCACCATAGCACGTAACGCGTTAACTGATGGATGGCCCCTTTTGCAAGACCAAACTACTGCAATGGTCCGCCGTCCCAGGCTGGGCGTCGCGCATGTGGCTGTCCTGGGCCTCTCCGGAGGCAGAGGGACATATCGGGAGGCAAACGTCCGAACACGTTTGAACCTGTGCGGCAGGCAACAACTGGTCCAGTCTGTTATGGAGGCCGCCTAAACTTCCCATCATCCTGTTGGATAGGCGCTGCGCAGCGACAGTCACCTAGGAAGGACCACACGTACTACCCATCACGTACACACGTGCCATCCAACCGTCAACTAATGCCAACGTGCAAAGGCTTGGAATGCGTCGCACATACTCGGTCCTTCCTCCCAACATGCGTGCGTGGCCAGGGGTTCATGCTATTGCCGTCCATACCGTTCCGACAGCCGTGCATGCCGCCGTGCATCGTATCATGCCTCTTTTCAGTTGCACTTGCATACCGTCGAAATGTAGCACCCGCGGCAAACAGCTCCAGCTCCATGCCTGCATGCTCTTGCGACTCACCGAACCCACCAGTCCCCACACCGAGATAGCCAATGGCTCTTTTGCGGTGCTCCATCCAGTGCTGGACCCATCTCTGCAAGTTAAACAACTACCACTGTCATGCTCCCCGCCACGACGCCTTGATGCGCCACCCATCGGCCGCGCCTATTACTCCTGTACAGATCCGTGGGAGTGCTGTTGCTGCTAATGCTGCTGGCAGTAGTACTGCTGATATGGCTACGCTTTACCAACACCATTAAACTTTCTTGTAGACTGCAACCATACGATACGCATCCTCGTGCTCGAGATCCACTCCCAACCGCAGCTCGCCGTACAGCGCCTGCGTCTCAAACCCCGTCATGCCCGCCAGCAGCTCCAGCTCACGTACAGTGTACTGCCGCTGCGCGACGACCTCAGTCACGGAGTCCACAGCCTCATCTCCACGGAACACCGAGATCGTTACCGTACGGTACAGGATCTGGGTCACGGGGTCAAAGTTGTCCAGGCTGTCGCCCCACTCTACGAAGACCTTGCCACCGTTGTACGGCCGTTCCCAGAGCTCCTTGCCGCTCTCGCCCGTAATCAGTGTGCCGTCGAAAAGATCACCCGGATGCGCCAGCTCCACCACAAATAGCCCGCCGGGACGTAGATGCTCCCCTACTTTGCGGAAGCAAGATATGGCTTGCTGAGTGTCAAGGAGGTGACTGAAGGTGCCCAGGAGGCAGATGACCATGTCAAAGGACTTGAACGGCAAGTCGAAGGATGCCATGTCGCCTTCAAGCAGCTCTACTGCCTGCGCCTTGGGCCCCACTTTTGAGACGTTGCCGCGTGCGAAGGCCAACATCTCAGGGGACATGTCCAGGCCTGCGACTTTGGATACGCCAGCCTTGGAGAGGCTGGCCAGGTGGCGTGCGGTGCCGCAGCCCAGCTCAAGCACGGATGTCAGCTGTGGCGCCGCGCCATGGGCCTTTTGCACGTCCTGGAGGAATTTGACCTCAGATTTGAAATCGCGGTAGCTGAAAGCGACATCGTACAGCTCTGGGCGGCTGTAGATCGTGGTGGGGCCGGACGTGCTTGCCTCGCCGGGTTCAGCCGCCTCGGGGACTGGCGGGGGCGGTGCCGCAGTGGCCTGCACCGAAATTGATATCATTCGCGACCAGCATTGCCAGGTGGATTTGGAGCCTCCTAGACGCCGGGACCTGACTGATGGGGCTGAAAGGCTCGGCCAAGGTCCAGCGGCGATACGTGTGTGTCGGGGCGCTAGCCCCCGACACATGCGGAATCCATGCTGCATCATTGTCCTATACAATACGCGTGCATGTACCGCACTATGCTCGCCAGTAGCTTCTCAAATTATCCGCCGCTATCCAAATGGGTCCGGTGCGTAGCTCAAGGGACAGTCTTGGCGTGGAGAGCCTATAGAAACTTAACAAAATAGCATGGACTTGTTATCAAGTTATGGTAAATCGCAGGACCCAAAGTCTATTTATGCAAACTTGACTGCGGAACCAGCTGTCAAGGCAATCAAGGCTTCTTCCTTGTGCAGTCTTATTACCACAAGTTATGAAAATCACCAGAACATATAGGATTAAGGCATGGATAGAATTCAATACTTGCCTATATCATTAATTCATCGTTCGGGACCGGTCAACCGCAAGCCTATCCTAGCGCGCGCGAAGCGGAAAGCACCAATTTAGGTGGTGCTTAGACATGGCTTCTTATATTTTTATGGAAGGTAGCGTTTAGTCCGCCTGAACGACGGAGGTGTCGCCGGCCAGGCAGCTGATGGCAGCGTCTCGCCTAAGTAGCGCATGCTAAGTTATGTTTCTCAATACCACCTGATCTACAGCATAATTAACTTACGTCTGGAACATAGGAGCAGCTGGGACAAGCTGGTAAACCCTAGAGGCACACCACGCCTTTCGTTACAGGCTACAATGATGCAAGCGACTCCCAGCCACATAGGCGTCCAGAAAGCCATGCGGCAGCAGGCGATGCGCGACCAGGACCGCGAACGGGCGATGCTTAAGGACGCCGCTTACCGCGCCAACCTCGAGTCCGCCCTACAGCGCCAGATCGCTCTCTCCGATGTCGAGCAGCGACAGCAGGCAGAGGCGGAGCTGCAGCACCTGTCAGACGTGTATGACCGCCGCTTGGAGGGCGTCGGTGAGGCGCATCTGGAGGCCGCCGTGTACATGCAACAGCAGAGCGAAGCGCGTGCCGTGCAGGAGCGCCGCTTCGAGGAGCTTAACCAGCGCCGGGAGCAGCGCTTCCACTCCGCACTCTCTGCAGTCAAGGCCCAAAAGGGCGTCGCCAAAGCGCAGGCCGCAGCGGTACAGCAACGAAGGGCGCAGATCCTGCGCGCCGAGCGCGACAAGGCGCAAGCCTTCACTGCAGAGCAGGCCGGACGCACGCACACACAGAAGCGGCAGCAGGCTGACTTGGCACGCCAGGAGCTGGAGCGTCGCAAGCGCAGCCCTAACGGGCTGGCTATGGACTTCCGACAGACGCGGCTACACGAGGGCCAAGGCTCGCCTGCACCGCTGGCTGTACCCGCGGTGGTTGCGCCACCGCTGCCATCCGTACCTGATCCGCTTGAGTCCGCCGAGGAGCTCCAGCACAGGTAGGTACGGCAGGCAGCGTGGGCTTTGCAAAAGTCAGTCTGTGCAGGACTGTGCGGTGTACTTGTGGGGGGGACGTGGATGTGGATGCAAGACCCAGTCGATGCAGGAGCGCGGCCCTGTGCTCGTGGGGTAAGGCAAATGGGAATATATAGAGATGCGCGTTTGCGTTATGCCCGCTTGTGTATTTCACGGGGCGGGGCCCAAGCCACCGCGGTTCGTGATACGCCGGGGCCGGCAGCTTTTAGCCTTGCTCCCGACTCAGGCGTCCTGAGGTGCCCCTTGGCCTTGTGCCAAAAGGCTACTTAAGTCTCTCTGGATGCCGTTACGGTCAGTTCCGTCTTTGGGCCTACGGTACTGCCCACTCATTGACACCCACGCATTGACACCCACGTATTGGCCAGCAAAGGCCCGAACAAATAATCCACGCACCACGGCCCGGACACCCGCAAACAACCTGCGGGACACAACCCCCTGCTCAGCATTTTAAAAGGGGCCTTGCTGACATGGCCCCATGCGAGGAAAACGCAATTCATGTCCTGGTTCTTGGGTTATTATTGTTTATCTGTGGACCGTTCATGCTGCTTAGCCCCCATGCGCTTTCCTTCTGTCACGGTTTGTTTGACTTGTACACCGTTGTACGCCATACATTTCGAATCGGCGGTGACAACAACAACAACTACTCACTACTACTCACTCTGTGATGCGCGCCGTGTTGTGGTGCCATCCCTTTTGCCATCGCCCCCCTCATTCCCACGTCGTCTGAAGGGCAGCGATGGATAAGCGGCGTCGGGAGGCTGCTGCAGTGGAAGCGGAGATCAGGGCGCGAGAGCGCTTCCTGGCGGCGCAGGTACGGGGCCGGGTAACAGCTTCCGGCTGAACTCCGAATCTGCATACAGTACATGACATGACCCTAGTTAAATCAGATCACTGGCATTACCCCCGGATTACAGACATGACCTTCTGGCTTCTGGCCCAGTCGTCCTGCACGTGAGGGTGAGCAGTTTCGACTGTTGGGCCTACAGCACACGTGTTGTATGTCTGTATGGTATATGTACGTGGTGTACCATGCTGTCGGTATGGTAAGTGTGTACGTGTAAGTGTACGTGTGTGTGTATTTTGCATGTATGTCCTCTGACCCAAATCCGCTCCAAACGAGACATGAAGCCGCGCCTCCGACGCTGAGTAGCATCGAAGAAGTGGGGAGCTGCCACACGCAGCGGCGCCTGCATATGAACTTCACGCAGGGGGTGCGTGCTTGGTCCTTGCGTCCTTGGCCTCCCGAACGGGACCGCTAAGCAGGATCCGCTCCATCCCGGGAGCGGTGTGTAACACCCCCAAGGCATTTGCTTCGCTCCGTAGCTTATCACAACGCCGTACCGTTGGCATTGTAGGGCAGGTGTATTCGAAGAACTCCGATGTTACAGGTGTTTTTCTGGATGTTTCATGCTGACCCAAATGCAATAACATTTGACTCGGAAAGAGAGTGTCCGGTACAGAGAGTCTTTCTAGCCCATTATGGTGGTGAAAGGAGTGGCGGGGCAGGACAGACACCGTCCTGACGAGCTCTATGGCCCTATCATACCTTCACCATCACACCGGTACCGCCCGCCATCTGCAGGCCAAGCTGCGAGCGGACGCCCAGAAGCAGGCAGTGGAGGCGGAGCTGGCGGAATTGGCAGCGCAGCGGCTGCGGGCTAAAAAGCAGGCGCTGGCGGCGCACCGGCTGTAGGTTCGCATGGGGGGTTGGCCGGAGAGGGCGGGGAAGAGGGCGGGAGGGAGGTAGATAAAACTATATATGCAGGAAACCGCAGTCTGCATGAGACGTGCGCATTTCCATGTAGATCCCCAACACCTCAGGCCTAGCTTTTAAACCGTATAATCTTCTCAACTCCCCCCCCACGCACCCCATTCCTGATGCAGCATTTATCTTCTCCTGGGCTATCCGTCTATCTCTGATATCTGCTCCATTCGCCTTTGATTCGTCTTACCCCCCAACCCCCACACACCCAACCTTACATGCCACCACCACTTTGGATACGCCGGCACTTCACTCCTTTGTTTCCTTGCATGCTATGATTCCCCACGCATCCCATTCAATAATGCCTCTTGGTCAGTTCTACTCCTAGTACACTCTTGCCCTGGCAGCAGCTTCACTCGTTCGTGGTTCGTCTTTTCCCCCCCCATCCCACCCAACCCAATGCAACCCACCCAACCCCCCAAACACGCACACGCACATGCTTACCCAACCTGTCAGGCACCTACGGGATCAGCGCAAGCAGCAGGACCTCCAACGAGTGTTTGAGGACAACTTTCTCTCTGGCGCGGTGAGGTGGTGGGGCTCAAATCGTGCTGGGTGGGGGGCTGTTGGGCTGCAGGTGTACACTGGCGGTTTCCAGCATATGCGCTGTTTGCATGGCGCCCAGCTTTTGCATCAGGTTGTCTCGCGGCTTTGGGAGATTCTGACCGCGAGAAACACCCTCTTGACGCGACGATTTCGGAGCTTCCGCCCCACGTGCCCGTTGCCTCGGAACCCGGAACCCGGAAGGTTCAAGGAGTCGGTTCCTTCGAAGGAAAAATGTTTTGACGATTGATGACCCGGCCAGACCCCGTACGTGCGCACTTGGCTGCTCCTGGGCCTGTAGGATGGCATGGACGACGACTTGGCGCCCAGGGCTCTTCCCGCCTTTCTACAGCCTGCGGCCCCCGCAGCGCCCATCGCCAAACCTGAACCGACGGTCGCCCCCGTTGCACCGTTTGCGGACCTGCCGCCGAAGCCGGCAGCTGTGTGGGGCCCCCCGCCGGCGCCCCGGCCGGGCCCTGCACCGGCGGAGGCAGGTGCCATGCCCCGCTGGAGCAAATGTCGTACAGCGCCGCTGGGTCATCCGCCGCCGCTGCCGCCGCTGCCGTTTGCTTGGATGCCGAGCGAAGGTACGGGTCGTCTCTTCGTCCGGTTCGGCCCCACTAGCACCCCTCCACCGACGAAGACCTTTCCTGACCCCTTTTCCCTGTCTCCCCTCTACCACAACCCAGGTCTTACAGCCCCGCCGCCGCTGCCACCGCCGCCGCCGCCGCCGCCGCCGGCCCCGAAAGAGGAGGCGGCAGTGCAGACCGACCCGGAGCTGATTGCCCCTTTTAACAACCAGCAACAAACCCACAAAGATATGCATCAGGATGGCCCCTGCATCATACCCGGTGAGGACGCAGTGTCAGCAGTGCCGGTGTCACCGACGCCGGCGGTGGCGGAGCGTTCCATGAGCCACCTGTCATGGTCCGACCCGGAACCTGGGGGCACGCCGTCCGACGCCGCCACAGCCTCTGTCGTGTCACATCCGCGGCCCTCTGAGTCAGAGGCGACTGCGAGCGCGGCAAGGGTTGACAGCAGCTCACGAACCGTACCGCCAGGTCCGGCGGTGGCGACGCCGCCGTCGCCACAGCCTTCGCAATCACCTGCACGGCCAGCAGATGCTGCGCGCGTTGACGACCTCCAGGGTGTGCTTGGCGACGAAGACGACGTGGACGCGTGGGGCGAGGAGGAGGTTGACCGGGAGCTGGCTAGGATGAAAAAAGAGCTGGGAATAGAGGTGCGTGATCCAATTAGAACAAACCTGATTGCGGCATGTTTCCAAAACTGGTTTTGGAAACATCTGGCACAATAGTCTTGGAAACGTCTTGATGACACATTCACTCCCAAAGTTATGCTGTAGATCAATTCCATTACAGGCATGCTGAGACTCAGAAGTGAGTGCCCCATCTGATGTGTGTCACGAAATACCGACATACCGACATACGTCCCTGTATGCCGCGGCCTGTCCCGTTTGTGCCGGTGCCGCCTGACCTCCCTGGCAACGCCGCGGCGCGCTTCCTTCAGGACTCCGACTTGCGCTCCTCCGTCAGCAGCATGGACAGCGGCGTCAGCGTACCCGCCTTCCTGAAGGACGTGGCGGCAGTGGCAGCCGCAAGGCAGGCCAGCTCGCATGCCGCTGCCGAAATCGCCGCAGCTCGTGCGGGTGCTGCTGGACCAACGAACGCGCCGGCGCCAGCGCCGCCCGGCCCCGCGGCGCAGGGAGCTGACAACCTGATTGCGACGGCTATGGCAGGCACAGGGACGGGGACGGATAAGCCACGTCAGTCTACCGCTGCCAATGCCACTGCCAATATTACCACGTCGCCGGTTAGCAGGTCGAGGGGCGCCGCTACGGCAGCCGAAAGACAACACCAGACCGCGGGCGGCGTGGCGGATGCTGTGGCGGCCTTAGACGCACTTGGAGCCATGCTCCGGCCGACGACTGCTGCGGCCGGCCAGCATTCCACGCCGGTTTCCAGCAGCCCGGCTGACACCCTCGACTCGTCCATCCTGCGGATCCTTGACTCGACTTCCTCCGCCAGCACTCCAACGGCCAACCGCGGCGCCACGCCGACGCTATCAGCACGCGCAATGGGGGGAGGAGCCGTCAGGCGCTCCGGAGGCGGCGGCGTGGGCGGGCCCTCGGCCGCCTACACGCCGGGAAGCTCCAGCCTTCCATCCGATCTGGACGATGTCCTGCTGCTTACCGAGCTGGACTGGGAGGAACTTGAGAACCTCGCAGGGCTGCGAGGGACCGGTGTGAAGAAGGGACGGATCGCCGCCAGCCCCACCCCACCCGCCACGGGTACCTTCGGCACGGCGGCCGCTGGGACGAAGGGAACGCCGCCGGCGCCGCTGCCGCTGCCGTTGCCGCTTAGGATAATAGGTATCGGTGACGGCGTCGACGGTGCCGGTGGTGGCTTCAGGGGGGAGTCGCCGAGCAGCACCTTCAGTGGCGTCAGCAGCAGCGTGTCGGATGACAGCCTCCGCCGCCTTGTGTCGCAAGGTGAGAATGGATACGATGGCCTCCAGGGAGTGCATAGGAGGTCTGGGTCGAGGAATCCGGTTGATGTCCGGGCGGATGATGTCTCTCGGTGGAGAGGGCGAAACGACGGGCGAGGGTGGGTGAACATCATGGCTTGATGTGCAGCTGCGGTTTGTGGCTGCATGTCGGCCATTAAGCCCCCAGGATGGTGCAGGACGATGCCTATGAGAGGAGCTGGATGTAAACTACGTTCGCTTTTTCTGCCGCCGAGAACTTTTGACAAGTGTGATACATGAGGGTAGCGCTAGATTTCGATGTGGGTATCGGGGCGTAAGAAGAGGAGGCCCTTGTTGGCAGGCCGCAAGTCTGCTGGGGTCGACTTCAACGCAAGGTTGGAAGCTGCATCGCAACGCATGCGTATGTCCCTCATGCCGCCAAACCGCTGCACCCTTCTTGTCCGTCGTTGTCGTTTTGCATGTCCTGCTTGCGCCCTGCCCCTCGCGCCCCTCTGTGCAGGGATCTTGCCGCCGGAGATCGCCACGCTACTCGCCTCGACACCCCCCTCTACCAGCCGCGCCGATCCGCCACCCAAGCCGGCGGCGAGTGCGCCAGCTGTCGCTGCCGCCGCCACCTCAACGGCGGTACCAGCCCCCACCATAGCGCCGGGTGGCAGGGCGGCTGCGCCGCCGCCTGCCGCTGCCCCGGTCGCGAAGCCTTCGGAAGCTTCGGCTGCGTCACCTGCTTCCTCGCCCTCTCTCTCCGACATCAACTCCCTGCTAGGCCGCTTCCGGCTTCCGACAGAAGCGGTTTCCGCTCCCTCTGCTGCTGCCAGCGTGAACTCACTGCAAGGAAACTTGAGCTTGAGCAGCACCTCGGCATCTGGTCAGGGCGCCAGAACCGTCCCAGCTGGCGCCAGCGGCAGCGGCGGCGCCGCCGCTACGGCGTTTCCCCCCAAGCCCGCCATGCGAGGCCTGTTCACCATCCCGGAAGGCGGATCGATATCGTTAGGCGACCTGAGCGCCGGAGCTGCGCCGTCGGGCCCCGCGGGTCCGGCAACCAGGGCGGCACCCCCCCATCTCCCACAGCCGCAACAGCAGAACCAGCACCAGCAGCGTGGACTGCAGGGGCTGCTGCAGCTGCAGCCGCCGCGGGCGGAGGTGCAAGGGCCAGTGCCGGCCAACGACGCCATGCGCCCCGAGCTCTCCAGGCTGCCGGAACCTATTCGCCTGAACCTGGCGGACCTGAACCGGCAGTTGTTGGCCTCCATCGGTGGTGCGGCCAGCAGTCGCGGCCGCGCCTCACCAGGCGCAGCGTCGCCTTCCGGGCAGTTGCGGCCGGCGAAACCAGGGCCCCTCGTCATAACCTCAGGCGCCGAGCCGTCCCCGGCGCGTGGACCACCACTACAGCCACAGCCGCGCCCTCAGCCAGCTGAGTTGGGCGGGCCCCGTGCGGATGCGGCAGTGCCCACCATCTCACTTTCATCGTCCTCGTCTGCGTCGTCCCTGTCCTTGTCCACCATGTCATCACTGTCACTGTCGCCAAAGGCGCAGGTCCGGGGACACCAAGCCGCCACACCACAACTCCGCATTGGCGCAGGGCTTGCTGCTGTGGATGCCGGCGCACCGTCAGCCGCCGCTGCCGCGGCCGTTGCCGGGGGAGCAGCAGCAACAGCAGCAACTGCACTAGACATCAGCGATACGAGCAGCACACTGAGCAGCCTGGGCTTGGGCCGCTTTGCTGGTATTGTAGCGAATGCTGGATCCACGAGCAGGTCGGACTACTCCCATGCCATGGATCCGACAGCCCGTACCGAGGGACAGGCAGCGGCGGCGGCGGCGGCGGTGGCATCGCCGCCGGCTGCCAAGGCCATGCCCGCTGCCAGCGCGCGCCAGACAAGCAGTCCGTATGACTTGTACGACAAGGAAGCAGCGCGGCTGCAAGAGCTGATGGCCACGATCAACGCCAGTCTGCGGCAGTCCGCCGAGGCCGTCAGCCGTGCTGGCGGCGGCAGCGGCGGCGGCACCTCGTCATCGTACACCGCCGGGGTGGCGGCTTCGCCGTCTACTGGCATCGCCACGAGCAGCACTACCACGCCCAGTCCCGACCTTCACCGGCGACCTGTGCACAACCGCCGTGGACCTGCCGCTGGGGGCTCTGCCGCCGCCGCAGATCCGCGATTGAGCGCCTCAGAAAGCTCTGTGTCCCCGCCAAGCACGTGCGGCAGCAGCTGGACAGTCTCCAGCATGGGCCCTCTGCCGTCGCCACCGCCGCTGCGGCTGGCAGCGCTGCAACCGGGAAGCCAGTCACCCGTAGCGGCGATGCTGCACAGCGCAAGGGCAGTAGCGGCGGCGGCGGCGGCAACGGCGGCGTCTGCAAAGGCCGTGCCATCGGTTAGCGGCCGCAGCAACCGCAATGCTGGGGCGGCTGCGTCCATCGGCGGCACAAGTAGTAGCGTTAACAGCCGTGGTGCAGCAGCGGCGGCGGCCCCACCCACAGCTCTGGATCGCAATGCGACGAGAACCGACGGCTATAGAAAGCAGGTCTTGGCTGGCCCCACGTCGCCTTCATCTGCATCTGTATCGTCGGTCACATCAGCCGAGCCAGGGTACGGCAGGACACTCGCCGCCACCGCGGCGGCGGGGACAGCGACAGCACCCGTTGCTGCCGACGCCGCTGGCATCAAGGGCGGCGTCCGCGAGCACTCTCATTCAATCCCGCATGCCCGAAATCCTCCTATCACTCCTACCCGTCCCGCCACCAGCGCCAGCACAGAGGGCGCCTCCACTGACACCATCTCCACGCCCAGCAGCGCCCTGTCCGGCCTGTCGTCCGTCTTTGAGATGCTTCGCATGGGTCTGGCCCCCGAGTCGCGACCGCCGGAGCCTGACGGCGCCTCCCCAGCACCGCCCGATGACGTCACGTTGCCACACATGCCCCAACTCGGGTCGCCACCGCCGCCGCTGCCACTGCCGGCAGCATCGCCGGTTCCATCCATTCTGCCCACTGCCCCTCCAACGCCCTTCTCGCCAATCTTATCCGAGTCTTCCGACAGCTCCCTGTCCCTGCCATCCTTGAGCCCAGCCGCTGGAGTTCCGGTGCTACCGCTGGCCGCGCTGGGGACTGCGGCGGCGGCGGCAGCGGCCTCGCGGCCGGCTCAAGATGCCGCACCAGTCGGGCCCGGGGGAATCTCGCTATCGCTGTCAATGTCGAGTAGCGATGGTGTGTCGAGTGTCGCAGAGGCAATCGCCGGCTTCCTCGCCCAGCGGTTCCGTGGCGTTGGCGCCGGCCAAAGTGGCCCAGCGGCGCCGCCACCGCCGCCGTCATCGTCATCGCCGTCGTCGCCGCTGCCAACCCCGCTGCCGGAGCAGCAGCCAGGACAGCAACCACCAGTTAATAAGCAGCAGCAGCAGCAGCAGCAGCCGGCGGCATCCATCGTGGACGCCAATAATAATGGCACTGGTGATGACGACGTTCGTGCTCATGTAAGCTTGCGCAAACCCGCCGGCGAAGGGCAACTCATCCCAGGTGCCGCCGCCTTCGAAGACGCTGCTGCGCCCATGGGCGTCGGCGGCGGTGATCGCCGCCGCAGCGGCGGCGACGGCAGGCACGGCATAGAGGTATGGGCCAGCCTGACGGGACAGACGTTAGCGGAGGCCCTATCGGGACTAGGGCTCTCGGGCTCCGGGGAGCCGTACGAGGACCTGTTGCGATGCTCCCTGGCGCTGTCCACCTCCAGTCTCACCAGCGGCGGCGGCAGCGGCGGCGGCGGCGCACCCGACGGTGGCGACGTTGACGGGGACTATGACTTGACGTCGTCGGTCCAGGGAACCCTGGCGCCCAGCGAGGCGCAGCAGATGGCGCCTGGCACCGCAACGGCTGGGATTGAGGCTTTTGGGGAAGGGGATGGCGAGCGGGAGGAGGACGGCCGCCAGCCGCGCATGGCGTTGCCACTATCGGCGTTATCCGTGTTGCCGCCGGCGTCGTCGATTCCTGGCCTGTCTGGTCAAGTGCAGGAAACCAAAGGTGATGTGCAGGTAGCCCCGGTCGCTGCGCCGCTTCCTGGGTCCGCCAGACAACTGTTGGCCGACGTGGACGCCGTGTTGGCCAGGGTAAGTCCCTATCACTCCCTATCGCATCCTTGCATGCCGTGCGCCTTATAATCATGATGGCAGCAGCTGGCTGGATTGTAAGACCTTGTCCTTGCGGACACGGCAAGCCCCCTAGGACGGGACGGGAGGAGGGCAGGAATGCGGCGGCGGCGCTGGCGTGCTTTTTAAGCAGCTGTAATTCTGAGACGGCGGATCACGGGCTTCGAGGCGGCTGTATGAATTTTGGATTTTCCTAACAGTTACATTAGAGAGGGTTTTAGGGTTTTTCGAACAGCTATAGGGGCAAACAGATAGGGATTGGAGGGATTGTGGGGGTGTAGGCGAGATGTCCCCATACGGGCCTTACGTCGGTACTTCATGCGTGCATGTGTGCCAACGGCTGCCCCCGGCATGTGCTCACGTGTGTCACGTATCATGCGACGACTGCAGATGGCCTCCCGCACGAGTGGGAACACATCGGAGCTATCGCCCACGTCTGTCCATTCTCCGAAAGCGAACCCTGCAGCGGCGAAACCGTCATCGCCTCAACCCGTGCCTCCTGAGCCGCTCCCTGGACAGCTGCTGCAGCAGCAACAGCAGCTGCAGCAGCAACAGCAACAGCAACAGCCGGCCTTCGCTGCAGATGCTGATCTTGGCGTCACTGCTACTGCAGCCCCCGCCGCTGCCCCCGCCGCTGCCGCTGCCGCTGCGACAGCTTCGGCTGTACCGCTGCCTCGTCCGCTGCCGGCCCCGGCGGCAGTGGTGACGGCTTTTTCTGAGGACCTTTTAAGCTCCTCGGATTCCGACGACTTCAGTACGATCATGGCTGGGCTGATGCAGGACATACAGCGTGGCCTGGCCACCCTCAAGGCCCCGCTGTCCCCCCAGCAGCAGCGACCTGAACAGCTTCAGCTGCAACAGGAAGGAACGAAACGGCAAGAAGAAGCTGCACCTGCGAACCCAGCCGGCGAGCTGGCGGGTTCTCCGCCTGGTGGGGGAACTACCGCCGCGGCGGCAGCCCTGGCGGGTGCGGCGGCAGCCCTCGAATCGGCCATCAGCAGCGTGCCGTCAGTGCCCTGGGATGATGACAGCGAGGATGAAAAGGATGGGGACGCGGAGGAAGAGGCGGCGAATAGAGAACGTGGCGACGGTGTGCGCGTGGGCTGGTGGCCGGGGATGTCGCCCAAGTCCCCCCGAGCGACAGCAATGGGGAGCACTCGAGGTGTTGAGTGGGACACGGCTGAAGGGCAGCACAGTGCCGCTGCTGCTGCTACTGCTCACCCGGGCCCTCCGGACTCGAACCCGTGTGCATCCGCCGCGTTGTCCTCGTCCTCCTCCTCGTCAGAGGCACCTGCCGCCACTACCGCTACTGCCAAAGCTGGCCGGAAGTTCCTCCCTATGCCCACCCTGAGCCGCGGCATTGCAGACGCGCCAGCGCGAGGATCCGCCGGCGACGACGCGGACTCGTTGGACCTGCTGCGGCTTGGAGAGGCGGCGGCAGCGACCGCCGGCGCGGTGGATGATGCCGTCGATGCTGCAGAGCTAACCTTCAGAGCGGAATCCATCCGTCGTATAAGTCGCGCGTCGGCCGCATCCTCCGGCTCCGCTTCGTCTGTCGACCTAGCTCCGGTCGAGCTGCTGCTGACCGTGGCGGCAAAGAGCTCCGCCGGCCACAGCTCCACCGCCGCCGTCATTTCCGCCGCCGACAGCATCGCCGCCTACAGCTTCCTGCAGCCGCCGAGGGCCTCTACGGCACGCAACCGCACGCCGCCTAGCGTCCAGTCTGGCGCCGAGTCGCCCAGCCATGCTCCCAGCGGCAGCGGCTCGTCGGGCTCCCCTTCCACCGTGTCCTCCCTGGACTCCTTCAGCCAGGCGCTGGGGCAATACCCCGAGTTCGGTGGCGCCAGGCACTCGCTGGTGGGGTCCCAGTCGCCGCCGTCCAGCGATGGCGGCGCGGACGGCACCAGCAGCGGGCCCGACGCTGCAGGGCCAGCCGTCAGCTGCGGCGTCGGTGCGCGACAAGGCGATGATTATGGAGTGGGGGACATAGCAAACTTCGGCCGGCCGTGGCTGCCGATCCAGTACCAGCCTCCAGATCCACTGCCGTTGCCGCTGCCGGTGGCGCCAACGCCGTACAGCTCTCTGGATCAGGAACCCTGGCGGGGTGCTTGGGACCCACCGCAGCCGCCGCAGCGGCCTGCCGAAGCTCGCGAGTCAGCCGCCGCCGGTGCTGCACTCCTTGGCTATCGACTGGAGGCCGTTGCCGCTGAGGCACAGACACGCCACGGGCCCCTGGAGCACGAACCCGGGCCGCCAGCGCCGCCAGTCGAACTGGACATTAGCTTTGGCTGCGGCAGCACCAGCGCCGACGTCGACGGGGAGTTTTATGGAGGCGATGACGCCGGCGAGGACGAGCAGCTGCGCGTGCCCGGGTTCCGGGTGCAGCCGGTCGGTGGTTTGGCAGGGGAATGGCGGGATGATGATGATGATGATGAGGAGGAGGAGGAGGAGGAGGGGGAACAGCGCTGGAACAGCTCGCAGCTGTCGGCTGGGACGCAGCGGCAGGTGCAGTTCCCTGTGTCTAGGCTGGGAGTTGAGGATGGGCCAAAGCCCAGCACACCCCTCCAGGCGAGGACCTTGGATACCCTAGCCGACGTCGCTTTCCCCTTGTCGGATGCGCGAGAGCAGCAAGAGCAGCAACAGCAGCAGCAGGCGGTTACACCGTCGCTGCGGCGGCAGATTCTGGGTCTGCAGCCCTTGGCGTTGGAGATCCCGACCGTGGGTGGAGCAGACCATCCGGCCTCCGGCGGCATCACAGCCGGCGTTCCCAGTAGCGAAGGCGGCCTAGCTTCCCGTATAGCTGCGGGAGTAATAACACCAGCAACGCCAGTAGCGGCTCCAGCGGGGCAGCTTGCCAGCGGCGATGCGGACGATGCACTGCCGCCGCCGCGGACGCCCCTCTTGGGCCGCCGCGCTGCAGTGGAAGCGGTCACGTCACAGGGTGGGGAGGGCCCCCCGCAGCCGCCGCAGCAGCAGCACGTGGTGGCGAGTACTCGGGGAGAGAACGCCGCCGCACGGCGGTGCGGCACTGCCGGCGCCGCTGGCCAGGAATCCGGGGCTGGCGGTGCGGGTGTAGGTGCGGGTGCCGGCAGCGGCGGCGGATACGCGGGCGCGCTTTCCGAGGAGCTGCTATCGGATTTGCTCATGTGGACTGTCAGTGACTTCTTTTCCTCGCCGGGCAGCGGCAGTGCCAACGATGGCGAGTAAGAGCGCTGCTGCCGGGTGTGTGAAAAGCTTGGTGTGAATGGCTTGCTTCGAAAAGGGAAAGGGAAGGCCAACCTGGTACAGAGCACTGCTTGAGTGTTCTACACTCCTCTGTGTGTGTGGGAGGAAGAACCGACTTCTCTTGGTTGACTGTGCTTGTACGGTGCTTTGCTTTGCCAAGGCCAAGCCGTTGCACCAGGAAAGTGATCTGTTGACGTGTACAGCTAGGATGTTAAGATTCCAGCTCCCTTCAGCACGAGAGGGGCTACCTGCCTTGCGACAATAGGCTATTCGATTCCCGACCTCTTCCTACTAGTTATAGTATGACTAGTTCGTCGGGATGACGCAGGAGTCCTAGGCGCACAAGGATAAGTCAATACGACGCCGATAGTGTATGTCCTTTCGTTCTTCTTTGCGTGTGACCTTGCATGCATGCCGATGCACGCAATCCTAATCCTTGAGTGAAGTGGCCTCAAAAAATGGTGGCGTGATATGGACCTTTGCCTCTTTTGGAAAGAAAGCGGAGCAGGGATTGCCTTTCGTCCTGTAGCGAGCTCAATTTAGAGGTTCAAACAATCGGCGACGCGGACCCGGGAGGGCTTGCTGGCTCCAAAAGACAGAAGCCCCTGATGGATCTGCCCGCGAAGGGGCTGTGACAGGTGGGGGGGGTGAAGAGTACGCTGGCTCCAATCAGGCGCTTGGGGAGGAAGGCGGATTGCTCGGGGGTGATGATGACTCGGCCCAGGCGGCTCACCAGTACCTTGGTGAGGAGCCGGTAGTGCGAGCATAGCAGTGTGATGGGGCAGTGGTAGTTGCCTGGGAGCTTAGGGTCACCCTTATTATAGAGCACTGTGATGATCCCTTGAAGGAAGCCTGCTGGCACCTGCCCGGTCGTGCCAATGGCAGTGAACAGGCCTGCCATCGTGACGTCGGTGGGGATCCGCATCCCCACCCCGGGGCCTTGCCAGGTGCGCTCTTCTTAAGTGCCTTCCGCAGTTCGGTGGCTATGATTGTTTTGGATCCATTTTGGGTTCATCTGCTTCTACCGGAAGCTTGATGTTGGCTGCAATGAGGGAGTTCAGTATGGTTCGGCGCGCTTGAGGCCAGATGAAGTCCGGGGCCTTGCTCACATATGTCTGTCTGTCTGTCTGTAATTCTCTCGCGGCTCAGATCATTTAAACACATACGGTCTTTAGTTTTATGGAGGCGTGCTGAACCTTGTGCACGAAGCAGTGCCGTGGGTTCCACCCATTTCCCCCACATAGGATAGGCCAATAGGCTCACTACAATAGCACATACAGGCTAATAGACCAAGTGACATCGCACAAAAAACAAGAACATGACACGAAACACACATCGTTGACCACGCACCCCAGGAACGAAGTACCTGCCGGCTTTGGTCCTCCACATCCCGGCACTCCCAAAACTCCCGGCACTCCTGCCCGTGATGCATCCAGTAGCGTGTGTCCTCTTCCCCCCTCTCACTCTCACGCACTCACTCCCCCAGAGGCTCAAGGACGTTTTACTCAGTCCGTACATGCTGATGCCGTATACTCATACTGCTGCCGTACGCGCAGCTTCCCCCAGAAACTGCAGAACCGTCGATCCAGATGGCCTTTGTCGGTTTGTGTCTACATCGCTCCCTGCCGCTATGCGTCGCCTTGCACGACATACATACATACATACTTCTGCTCCCGGCCGGCCCGGGTTCAAATCTGCCTGCCGACTCCTCGGGTGTTTGAGGAGTGTTGAAATGGGAGGTGGCCCCCCATCATATGGACGATGTAGGACGTGATAATATCAACTTGCGAGCTAACCAGGAACTAAGTTGATGCGCCGTTGATCCGCTAGATTTGGTTGGATGCTGGTGGTGAGTTGCCGAACCCAACGATTGAAGTCGGATGGGGTGACGGATTAGGTTGCCCCTCTAGCAGGGGAGAGCAGGGACTGCCCCGGGAAAGGGGGCCGCTGGCGAAGTTAACCACCCTGTAACAACATACATATCGGCATACATATATGGACGCATACATACATACACCTGCGAGCCGACCAGGAATGGAGTTGGGCCGCCATCGATCCGGCAGATTCCGTTGGATGCTGGTGGTGAGTGCGGAACCTGAGCGATCCATTGAGAAGTTGACTAGGGTGACTGGATGAGGGTTTGCCCCGAAATACCGGGGAAGGCAGGGTTTCGCCGGGTAGCTGCCACGGGTGAAGATATACCCCCCTGTTTCACACATCATACACACATACAGCCCCCCTGCCTGCCTACATGCACCGAGTCAAATGCAAAACCTAGAATGTCTGTTTCCGCACAGCAACGCACACACACACACACATACGCATCCTGCAGCAGCAACAACAAGAAGGACATTTTCCCCTCTTTTCCTCCCTCGCAACAACAACAACAACGACAATGAGAAAGTCTATAATACTACTACAGCAATATAAGAGCAGCAGCGCCAACAGCAGCATCCCACCAGCCCACACACGCACACCGCATCTCCTATTTGACACCCCGATGAGGAGGAGGAGGAGGAGGAGGAGGATGAGAGGCCATTTCAATAAACCATTCGACAACCGTTCGAGCACAGCACCACATGTTTTTATAATTGCACACACGCACACACATTCCCAGTGCAGTGCCTCCCAAGCTGCACACATCACCACATCATCGCAACAGTTGTGCGTCTGTCCGTCTGTCTGCTAAGCCATCGCGGTCTCAGGACCTAAGCAATTGCCCATCGGCGCCTGTGCGTCCGTACATCTATCTGTCTACCTGTCTGTCTGTCTGTCTGTCTGTCCTGTCTGATCGTTTCCTAAAGTATACATGTATTTGTAATGTAATGTAATGTATTTGTATTTGTATTTGGTGGTACTGCAGTGCTCTAAAACACCCGCGGCTGTTTCTCCCCTCCCCCTTCCAAGCACAGACACGCACATACATACATACATACATACATATACACACATCGCACCACCAAACTTCCCGTCCGGGTCCCCTCGACGCAGTAATCAGTCCTTCTTCTTCGGTCCACTGCCGTACTGCTCGTCCACGTCGGGTGCGCTCATGGGCAGCAGCGCGTAATCGGCCTTCGTGGTCTGTACGGGAAAAAAACGTACGGCAACACGGGATGGGATACTACTGGTGGAAGGGCAAGGGCTTTAAAGAACCCCCGGTTACGGAACCCCCCTCAGGTGCCTCACATGGAGGACAAAAGACCGGTGTCGGGTCGGGAAGGCGAACCATGAAGGGGTGAAGCTGATACCAGAAAAGTAGAGGGATACTCTGCAGGATTATAGACGGATACTGCATCAAGAAATATGTTTACCAACCAGTCATAATAATAATAATAATAATAATAATAATAATAATAATAATAATAATAATAATAATAATAATAATAATAATAATAATAATAATAATAATAATAATAATCACCACCACCACCATTATAGGGTGGGGTAGCGCCGGGTGGGGAAGTGGAGGGGTGTGGGAAGGGAAGCGGAGCCGCAAACGACCGGGCCGTAGCGGGTTGCTGTGTTTTGTGTGACACGGGGCCCGGAAAGGAGAGCGGGTCCTTTTACCCCGGGGAGCCGCATGTGCACACACACGTACATACATGCACACACGCCGCCGCCGCAGCAGTGTCAACCAAACAACTAACCAGCACCAACCAACCAACCGATTAACCAACCAACCGACTAACCAACCAACCGCCAAGTGTGCATGCAGAGTTGAGTACCCCCCAGAGCGCTCTCCTTCTCTCCCAACCACCCAGCCCGGCACGTACCAGCCCCCTACCTGCGTCTTCCTCAGATGTCGGTTTCGGAGCTCCGTGAGGGGGTGCAGCAGGGAGGGCTCCATGACGTCATGACACAGGTCCTCGATATCCTCGGAGCCCAGGACGCCGTCCGGTGATAGCCGCGACTTCAGGATGTACAAGTCCATTCTGAGACAGACAGGCAGACAGACAGACAGACAGATGGGAGGAGGGGAGGAGGGGGAGGGGAAGGGAACACATTGTTTGTGTTGTGCGTGTGTGTGTGTGTGTGTCTCTGTGTGTGTTGAACACATATCTGTTGAATGGCGCGTGGAGAGGACGGCACACACACACACACACGCGGGGGGAAGTCACTTTAACAGAGCAAGCGGTCACGTCAAATAGTGGTAAGTGGCAAATCTCTTCTAGCGAGTGGATGGATGGATGGAGGGCTGGATGGAGGGTTGGATGGATGGAGACGTCGATGAACCTTTTGGAAGGACGTCGCATTGTTTGTATGTATGTACGTGCACATGTATTGGTTTCGGTGCAAGAAAGTACTCATCACGGCGTCCCATCCCACACCATTTCTTCCCCCTGCCCGCAGAAAGCCTCTCACCCCTTCCCTCCCAAACCCCCAAACAAATACCCCGAAATAGAAAGCAGCGCCCCCTGCAGCAGCCTCAGCAGCCCCCCCCTTCCTCCTCCTCCTCCTCCTCACTTTGTCGAAGGCGCATAACACACCCGGACCTCCGACTTGTCCGATTTGAGGTAGTTGTTCAGTCGGGAGCCGCCCGCGGCCGCACTGGTCGACTTGAACAGCTGGTAGGCGGTGTACCACCCGAGGCCGGGGACTGCGATCACCTGCGATCACAATCCCGGGGAGGGGGAGGGGGGGAAGGAGGGGGAGGAGGCACTGGCGGTACTGCCACTGCTTACAGCTACTGCCACTGTTTTTCAAATGTTGTTGGTGTCCCTTACCTCCAGCCCAACCGCCACGGGCAACATCACTCCCGCAACTGCCGCCTTGCCAACCGACTTGTAACAGAAGTGTGCAGTTAGTTGAGTTAGTTGGTCCTGGACCTCGTCCGGGGGTATGGTGGCGGGGTGGTGGACCACCAGCTGGGGGGCAACAGGGGCCGGGGGGGGGGGGGGAAAGACGAACCACACACAGGGGAGGGGGGGGAGGACGGGGGGGAGGACGGGGGGGAGGACGTGTATGTAAGCAATATATATGTAAGGAAATCACATCTTCCAAGAGAGGAGGAAAGAAGACATCATCATTAACAGCAACTGGTAACAGCTGGTCCCGTACAACCAGCCCCGGGGGTGGGTGGGGAAACACGGGGGGAGGTCAGAGGGGAGGGGTAACTCGCAACCGGAGGGCTACTCCCCTACCCGCCACTGGCGGTGGCGGTGGCGGTCGTTTGCAAAGGACCCGCCCTTCTCTTAGCCCCCCTTTCACCAGCCCCACCTCCCTTCCCGTACCCCCACATCTCCCCCCCAACCATACATTCCACCCCCCGGCCCTCCTCAGCCCGGCCCTCCTCAGCCCCACACGGCCCGTACCTTGTTTGCCTTCTTGGGGATGTTCTTCATGAGCCGCTCTTCCGCGTTCATGTTCTCCAAAATGGCCTGACCCGCCCTGGGGGTGTGGGGGTAGGGGTAGGGGTAGGGGTAGGGGTAGGGGGTAGGGGTAGGGGCGGGGGTAGGGGTAGGGGTAGGATGAGAGAGAGGGAGAGAGAGAGAGAGAGGGGAGGGGGAGGGTACCAGGAGCAGGACACCGCATTTTTATAAACTATAGCAAAGGCGAGGAGACTGAAAAAGAAATAAGTGGAGGGGTGTCGCATGATGCGTAACTTTACATCCCACCAGAGGGGGATACGGTGTGTTGCTATCGGTGGTGGCGCAATGGAGCCGTCGCTTTCCCCCTGCCGTACCAACTGACATAATGCCGGACGCCGTACCGGCGGCCCATGCCCACCATACATCCATTTCTACGACAGGCATGCGGCATAGCGACTCAAATCTTGATCGCCAACTACCAACTACCAACCCCAAGACTCATCTTCCCCCCTCCAAATAAAGTCTTCTTCCTGCCATTAAACAAATACTACTTTGCCGTACACCACTTGATAAATGGTCAGATGTACGGCACTTTCGTGCGCCGTACTCACTTGTATATCTTTGCCGAGAAATCTCCCTTGTCCTTGAGGCTGTGCCACATGTTGCTCAGGTTCTGTTGCACATTGGAAACCCCCGCAGACACCTTACCCAGCACGGCTGAACGGAGCGGGCGGGGGTGGGGGGGTGTATGTGCAAAATCGGAAAAGGGGAAAAGGGGATGAGAAAGCAGGGCATGGCTCAAACAGCAAAACCAACTAACCAACCAACCAATTAACCAACTCCAAAATCTCATTACCTCCCAATTACGAATATGGAGAGGCGCCGGAGAGGGGAAGAGATGGGCGCACAGGCACACAGGCACACACACACACACACACACGCGCGCGCGCGCGCGGGGTCGCAAGCAATTCAAATTCATCTCAATCAAACACGCCACTCCCACCAAGCAGCCCAGTAATGACCACTTCGAGGGGTGTACATGTCCGCCCGGAATTTCTCCCCTCCCCCCGTTCCTCTGTGCCTTGTTGTCGACCCCCCCCCACCCCCTTCGCTCCCCCCCATCCCCCCCCCTTTTTCAAGGGGGCCAAGGAGCCCACACGCACTGGTTGTGTCTTCCTCGTCCTTCCAGTTGACAACGGGAAGAAACACCAACTTGTCCCGGAACAGCGGTACGGCATAAAGCAACAGCTCCCGATGGTTCATAGAATAGCCATCGCCGCCGCCGCTGCCGGCGAGAAAGCTGGCGTCGTCGGGACCGCCGCCGCCGCCACCGCCACCGCCGCCACCGCCGTCAGCAATGCTGGAGGCGCTACGACCCGGCGGCGGTGGTGGCGCCGAAGATGTGGTGACGGCGGCTGCGGCGGGGATGGTGGAGTATGGTGTGCTGCTGTTTGCGGTGGTGGGCGGGGTGCGCTCGGCGAAGGGGTCGAAGGTGTCCCCCGGCCCCGGGTGTTGGTTGGTCCGCGTTACGGCAGGAGCCTGGTCATCGGGCCGCCGCGGGGGGGATTGCACGAGAGAGAGAGGGGGGAAGGGGGATTATATGTATTTGAAGATTTTTTATACAATTTATTTGTATTTGAAATATTTATACAATTATTAAGAGGGAAAAAGGGAAAAACAACCCTCATATAATAATCCTGACGTCACACTTGACGACAAAAGAAGGGGGAAAAACATTACCAGGTTAAGATAAATTTACCAAAGTTTCATACACCCACAGGGGGTTGCAATTCCAATCCGCAAAAAAGAATTATATAAAATCTCGTGCCAAAATAGAAATAAAAACCCACAATCCGACTGCGCGCCAACGGGCCCCAAGCACCCCTCCCCCACTCAACTTGGAGACGGGGGGAGATGAGAGGCAATGAGGGGCCACGGCGTGGACGGACGAAAAAAGGACAATACGACGATGCAATGTACGATGTACGAACTAAGTCGTACATGATTACGAGCAGCCGGGGTTGCCAGCAGCGACCACCCAGCGTGTGCGTGTGGGTGTGCGTGTGCGTGTGGGGGGAGGGTGGGGGAGGGAAGAACAATGACAACTGAACCACATGCATTCATGCTTTATTACGAGGAGAACCGAAAAAAAAACACTCACACTCACACTCAGACAGACGTACACACCGACACCTCCTGATGTGTGACATGTGGCTAAATAGCAATAAGCGCAAACCGCCGCATCGGCGACTGGTTATCGAAATCCCCCGGTAGCTCCATCCCCAGTCCCCGCCTGGTCCCCACCACCAGGCAATGCGCACTCCCCGGGAGTCCGAGGAGAAGGCGGAGAGACGCCGGGGCCGCAGCCCGCGTACCACCACCACCACCACCACCACCACCACCACCACCACCACCACCACCACCACCCGCACAGCTGCCTGCCACTTCCCCACTCCCCAACTTCCCCTTCCCCACCACCCAACATATGCCGCGAAGCACTCTTTCCTTGGCAGCAAAGCTTCACTCGTTCGTGGTTCGTCTTTTCCCCTCCTTTTTCTCCCCCACTTTCCTCTACACGTTCCACTGCCACTCCACCTCCGCCTCCGAATCCCATCCCCACTCGCACCCCTGGTGTCGCAGCCCCCGCTCCCGCTCCGAGCCCCGGTCCTGCGGCCTTCAAACTCCCCGTCGCCGCCGCCGCCGCCGCCGCCACTGCTGTTGGGCCTCCACCCCCCCCGGCCTCTCGCATTGCCCGTTGCTGCATCAGCAAGTCGTCGATGCCATTGGTGCTCTGGGAATGGTGGTGGTGGTGGTGACGAACCAACGACGAACCAGGACCCGATCCAAACCAACCGGAACTGGGTGGTCCGGACCCAGATGCCGACCCATGGGTCACTTGATGGTTCCATGGATTGGCCGCGGGGCCGCCGGTGGTCGAGGGAGGGGCCGTTGCGTTATTTGAGCCCCAGACTGTACTGCCGCCGCTGGCGGCGGGGCCCTGCGCGCCGGCAGTTGAGGTCGTTGGGCCAGTAGTAGAGGCGGCACCGAAACCACGAAGGAGGTCGGAGAAGCTGCCAAAGCTGGGGAAGCTGGGCCCAGAGGTACGAGCTGCCGTACCACCTATCCCGCCACTAAATGCGGAAGTGGAGGTGGTAATGTCGGGCTGATCCTGGATGCAGGAAGGGCCAGGTAAACCGTAGGGCATGTGTTACGTGTATATGTATGTATGTATGTATGTATGTATGTATGTGCTCATTCCAAACTGCATTGTGCCGTGCCGCTTGTGGTGTGTATGTGTTACATTTCCACGCCGTTCCCGCGCCCCGGAGTCCCTCGCACCAGCAACCCCCGCTTTCCCCCGCATGCCCACATGCAGACGCTGCGCCTCATATACCCCCCTTCCCCCCTCCCCCCCTTCCCCCCCTTCATCTTCTCTCACTCCGCCAAACAGGAGGTCCAGCGGGTGCTGTGGTTGGCGTCCGTCCTGAGGTGTGACAGCGGCTGCTGCTGCTGCTGCTGCTGGGCCCCCTGGAACCCACTGCTGCTGGTGCTGCTGGTGTTGTAAGTGTCTCTGTGAGGCGGAGGAGGAGGAGGAGGTTGCTGTTGTGCCCCATGGTGATGTTGATGAGGGCCCCGAAGTGAAGTCGAAGAAAGGGTCTACTGCGCCGGAGGGTGAGCGTATGGGAGGGTGAAAGGGCGTTGAGTGTGTGTGTGTGTGTGTGTGTGTGTGCGTGTGAGAGAGTGAGAGAGAGAGAGAGAGAGAGAAAGAGAAAGAGAGAGAGTGAGAGACACACACTTATATACAGGTGAGCCAGGAGGATGAGGAGAATCCAAACACGATTGTCCCACCGCCCGAATCTATGCATGCACCCAGTTTTCCGGAAATTCATTCGGCCGCCTAGCTCAGCTCAGCTAGGTCTACAGAGGCAACCCGGACTACACACCTGGTCGACCACACGCACACTCGGCGCCGTTGGGACACCCACATCTCCCCCCCCCCTTCCCACACTCTACACTCTTGCACTGGCAGCAGCTTCACTCGTTCGTGGTTCGTCTTTCCCCCCTCCCAACCCCAGCCCATACACCCCCAGCCCAGCTGCTGCCACCCACTCCCCTTGCCTGGCTGATACACATCCCCAACCTACATCTACACACATACATACAGATACACACATAGGTATGGATACACCCTTCCCATGCGTTAGGTAAACACCTGCAGGTTCCCCCCACAATTCAAAACCCGCCCTTCCACATCCCCCCATATTTCCCCCCCCCCCACACACACACGCAAATACACAGACATGCATACAGACACACAGACACACAGACACGCACCGTGTTGTGCCAACGTCACCAGCTCCACTGCAGACTGTGGGGGGCCGGCTGGGTGACGTCCCCAAGGGCGACCCTGGGTCAACGATGACGTGGACGTGGACCGAGATCGTGGCTCCGAATCGTCGCCCAGGTCGATCAGGTTGCCGACAGCGGGGCCCCCGGAGGAGGTGGAGGGGAAAAACACGGGGGGCCCCACGGCTGTCCGCGGAGGTGGATCTGTGCCGCGGCTGCCTCGGCTGCCGCTGCCGCCTCGCCGCTGCTGTACCTGCTGCTGTGTGCGTCCGCGAACGGCCCCTGTGCTGGTTATTATTGTGGTGGGAGCGGTCGGCATGGTGACGCCGCCTGGGGAAGGGAGGTTGTCCATGATGCGACAAAGGGTAAATGAAAGTTTGAGGCAGGTAAGGTTGAGACTGCAGACGGCCGGTGTTAAACGGTGAAGAGGATGGATGGTGGCCGGTCCGATGCGCAGTATCAAGCCAGGCCGAAAGCGACACGACCGAGAGGAATGCAGATGTGTTCGGCAGTCTGTAGATATTAAAATGCTAGTCGTAGGGCAGGGCAGTTACCCATTACCTACCTGCCGCCTCGCGAATAAGACGCGTAGCTGCGGCCTCTTCCTCATCAGGTTCATCTATGCAAATTCGTGCATATGAATTGAACATCGTGTCGTCTTTCAGGTCCAGTAAGCTTGTAAGCCGAAACGCGTTTATTGGGCTATGTAAAAGTCCCGTCCTGCCTCCTCGACAGTACTAATGGGACCGTGTCAACGCTTTAGCGCAGAATAGCAGTTGGAAGCCAACGTTTTTGAGAGTAACATAGCACCGTGAGGAAGTAGCCCCAGAATACAGCTCTCGATAATTTCTGCTTTCGCCTTACATATGAGATATGTAACGGGACTGTGACTGGAATACTCTCCAGGATCACGGACATGGACTCATTATCACTTATTGATTATGGGACGACCTCAGTCAAGTTTTTCCCCAGAGCTTAGACGAGCGAAGCGACAAACCTGAAAGAAAAATATGTTACTGAAAACCGACATTCAACTGAACAGGAACTACTTCACCATGCAAAACTATGAACACCGGGAAGCAGCTTCCACGCATGCGTACGAGAGTATTTTCGCCGTACCACCGAAAAAACAGATTGGGACCTCAACCAGCAGGCCTCACAGCAACATGTAATCACCTCCAATCCGCTCACTAGACCCGGTCCCTTGCCACCCAAGCTAGCTGACAAACATTCTTTCCTGAGCGAGCCTCACCCGCTGGGCCCTGCCCACCTGGGCGCTGGTTCAACCACCGAGATAAACTCGCGCATGCTAAGGGACCCCGGGCCGCCAACCAGCGTTCCAATCTCATCATGCAAGTTATATTCATCGATTCTCCTGAGCGCAACAATAAGTAGCCCAAACCAAGCGCTCAAAATAATGTACAATCAGCAGCACACGGTGCAGGGCACGCAAGCCTACCCCTAGCCCCGAACGTTCACCTCAAAAATACCCAAACAGAAATAACCAGCAACCGCGTCCTACCATGCACAACATGCCTGGGCACTGGCTAACGGGCCTGGATAGCAGACGTCAGCCTCAAAGTGCAAACACGTAATAAGCAATGCTTGTGAAAAGAAGTTATGTAAAACATACTCGGCGATGATGTTTGCCCTGCTTCGCATCTTGTAACAGCCGTAGCGCAGTAGTTGGGGGACCGTATCTGGTTTTGAGGATGAGCGCTTCAGCTGGGCCAATCTGGGTTTGTC